CAAGCCAGCTCGAGCTCTCCTCGGCTGAGTCCAGTCCACCGACCAGCCCTGTATCTGACCCCACTCCATCTCAGCCGAACAACCCACCTATCACCCCATCTACAAACCCACTGCCCAGCCCCACACCCGAGCCCGAACAGCACCCCCCCTTCCCCTGTTAATGTCCACCCGATGCAAACTCGGGCGAAATCTGGAATTTTTAAACCAAAAACTATTTTTAATTTAAACACAGTTGTACTTTCAGCAGATCCTACTTGTTTTTCTGAGGCAAATAAACACTTGATATGGCGTAAGGCTATGGCTGAGGAATTTAATGCACTTATTGCTAACAACACTTGGGATTTGGTACCTTTTGATAACTCTAAAAATATTGTTGGCTCTAAGTGGATTTATAAGACAAAATTTCTTTCAGATGGGTCTATTGAGCGCCACAAGGCACGGTTAGTTGCTCAGGGGTTTAATCAGCAGGCTGGTGTAGATTTTTCTGAAACGTTTAGTCCTGTTATTAAACCCACCACTGTTCGTACTGTTCTCACTTTAGCTATTTCATTCGGGTGGGTTATGCGTCAGCTTGATGTTAAAAATGCTTTTCTTCATGGTCATCTTACTGAAGAAGTTTATATGCGTCAGCCGCGGGGTTTTATTCATCCTCAGTATCCTCATCATTTATGTCGTCTGCGCAAGGCTATTTATGGTCTTAAGCAGGCCCCGCGGGCATGGTTTCATAGGTTTAGTAGTTTCCTACTTTCTCATAATTTTTTATGTAGTAAGTCGGATAACTCTCTATTCATTTACCGCCAGGGCACTTCGATTATTTATTTGTTACTATATGTGGATGACATTATTATTACTGGCAATTCATCATCTGTTGTCACTCAGTTCATTCATCTTATTGCTCACCATTTTTCCATGAAAGACTTGGGTGATCTTCATTATTTTCTTGGCATTCAGGCCATTCGTAATCCTAAAGGTTTGTTTCTCTCCCAGCAGAAATATGTCTCTGACCTTTTATCTCGCTTTCATTTACACACTGTCAAGTCAGTTCGCACTCCCCTTGCGTCTCGTACTGCCTTATCTCTCACTGATGGCGAGCTCCTTGCAGATGCGACTGAGTATCGCAGTATGGTAGGTGCATTACAGTATTTAACTTTGACAAGACCTGACATTACTTATGCTGTGCATTTGGTTTCTCAATTTATGCATGCCCCTCGTACCACTCATCTTTTTGCTGTCAAGAGGATTTTTCGATATTTGCAGGGTACCATTGATCATGGTCTATGGCTTCAGCCTACACCTAAGGCGACCTGCATTATGGCATATTCAGATGCAGATTGGGCCGGATGTCCCGATACCTCTCGATCCACCACCGGCTACGCAGTATTTCTTGGGCCAAATCTTGTATCTTGGAAATCAAAGAAGCAACCTACTGTTTCCAAATCCTCTACAGAAGCAGAGTATCGAGCCATTGCCTACACGGTGCAGGACACAATACACATTCGGTCCATTCTATTCGAGCTTGGTTTTCCAGTCACAGCACCGGTACGTTTGTTTTGTGACAACATCTCTGCTTCCTACTTGACGGCCAATCCTGTTCAGCATGCTCGGAGTAAGCATATCCAGATAGATTATCACTTTGTTCGTGAACGTGTGGCTCACGGTGATCTTGTTGTTAAATATGTTCCTACCAGTCTTCAGTTAGCGGATATATTTACTAAAAGTCTCTCTAGTCAGCAATTTCATTTTTTAAAAGACAACCTGCGCGTTGTATCTCCCGCACAGTTTGAGGGGGTGTAATAGCCTAATATTAAATTAGGAATCCTTTGTATCTTTGGAAACTTTTATTAGTATAAATATATCTGCTAGGTACCCTATTGGGTAACCTTTCCCATTATTTCACAGTAAATTGACATCAAGGGTTTGAAATCAACCGCCACGAAGGTGATTCGGCTATGATTTTTAGGTGGCGGCAAACGACTTTGTTTTTTTAGCAGGGGCAGTGGTGTGCTGAGGGCTGGGGCTGGGGGAATTGAAGGATTAGTAATGATATGCGACGATTGAAGGGGCGGGAGACTAGTGTTGGTCAAGGACTCTAGGTTTGTGTAAGGAATGGGGTTGAGAAAGGGGCTATGGTGGCGGCGCTCATCGTCAGGGAGGGGCGATGGCAGGGATTTAAATAGTGGTCTGCTACCGTTATTGTGGTTGCTATATAGCGATCATGACAGCCTCCGCTACCGCTACGTACGGCCCACTATTGCTGTGTGAATGGGAATCACGTCTAAATCTACACATAACTGCTTCGGATCCACTACGCCGCCCGCTAGCTTCACGCCGCAACCGGTACTGACGACACCGCATCACCAACTGTACATTTCTTTTTTGGCTTTCCAAAAAGCATGTCGAGCTGATGTGTTCATGGCTGGTGTGTACATGTTGTGAACTGCATGAATGGTGCGTGCATGGAGTGAGCTCTAAATGTTGAGCAATAAATGGTGTGCTCTAAAAGAAGTATTCGCATATAAGCGTTCAAAGAAATATTCATAATGTTTCTATTAACATTATCATTCATATATTCAAATAAACAAATTTATGTTCAATGTAATTAATGAAGATTTGTTAAAAGAATGCAAAAAATCATGATATTTCTATCTTATCTGCGACTGCTATACGCATCGCAGCGGCCACATTAGCCGCTACGGCTGCCGCTACCGCTATTTAAAACCTTGGGCGATGGTGTGCGGTGGTGGAATGAGGTTGTTGTCGGGGTTGGAGTCGGGGTTGAGGCAGCGTGTTTGCTGGGTAATGGGAGTTGGGAAGGAGACTGTCAAGGCATCGTTGGCGGCAGTAGGTGGTAGTGCTTAGCGGTGATGGCTAGCAGTAGTCAATTTCGGACCGGTTAACTGTAATGGTCGGGGTGAGTGTTTTAATGGATTGGGTCGGTAACTGTATCTCGTTTGGTCAAGTAATTGTAACTGGTCGGGTTAGGTAACTATAATCGTTGGTCGGGTAACTGTAACGGATTGGATCAGGTAACTATAACTGGTCGGATAATTGTAATTGGTCATTATATTGTTGGCCACTGCATGTATGAGTTATTTGGGCCTAATAATTAAGGGTAAAATAGTCTTCATAACCATCTTTAGTCTCATTTTTGGAAATTAGGAAAATGGCTCTTATATGTCCCACACTTATTGTTTTATAATATTATTGTCATAATCCCATGATTTAAAGTCAGACAATCTTTATCAAATTTAAAATAAGATAATCTTAGTAAGAGGGATCGAAAAGGAAAGATAAGATAATCTTAATGAAAGGAAGGTATAATTCGGCGTAACATATATACATGTATGTCTATATTAAGGATGTTTTTACTTGACTGTTTTCAGTCCCAGACCAAACAAGATCAGATTTAAACAGGCCAGATCAGTTCAGACTAGATCAGACCACACCAGACTTTCACAGTTATAAAATATACAGAGATCAGACGTTTACTAGATCATTTTAGACCAGACTAGATCATACCAGATTTAAACAGATCAAACCAGCTTAAACAAGATCAGTAAATTTGAGTACTACGTAAAAACATCCGAAACGTCAATCACTAGAATCGGCAATTAATTTCGTTTTACAGTTAGAATCGGTACTTAAGCTACGGAAAGTGTGAATTGAGATTTCTAGTTCTACCTCCATCCATTTCATGCATTATACGAGTGATTCAGCCATACCATATACGAGTAATTATTAATTTATTACTCAATCCGCACGTCGGTTACTGATTCATTAAGGAAAATTTATTATTTCATGCTTTACTCCTTGTAATCGATGCAAGTTGACCAACATGAATGTACATTATTTGCGAAATTAGACTATTATTTGCCAAAATTTCTTACTCTTTATTTGGGAAATCAGACTATTATACTACGTATATGAAAATAATTAAACATAGATAAAAGAAATGTTGCAAAAAATATATATATATATATATAGATAAAAAGAAAATGTAATAACATGAATGTACATTATAAGTTTTTCACTGAATAGTAAGACATCCAATTCGATCAGTGCAACATAAATAATTAATTTTGATTCCAAAAGTGAACATTTTAAAAGCATGCTATGGAACGTACATCATCCGCATCCTCCCTTGCACAATTTTGTGTAACAACTTACAATACGGAGTAATCTGGTGACTGTACTTCTCATATTCGTTGTTCGTATTGAATCTTGACCCCCGGTCTCCTGGTCTTTACAAAATTAAAACAATACTCAAGTATATACTCCCTAATAAATATGACTTTGATGATTATTCAATTCTGATTAATTATTTTATTTTACTCCCTAATATATACCTCTTTCTTCCCAAATTGAATTGTTATTTGTAGATTTTAAGGTATATTGAAGCTAAAATTAAGAGGCCGTTTGGTAACCTCATTTTTCGGCTTATCAGGCTTATCAGCCAACTTTTTCACCAAACACGTAATTTTCACTTTCGCGCGCTGGATTGTGTAATAAGCAGAAAAAGTAAGGTTGAAGTTACTTTTCTGGCTGTATTGGCTGAAGTTACTGTAGATGACCATTTTAACTATTTTTACATATAAGTTTTTCTTTATTTTCTTAATAAAATATATTTTAAAAATAATTTTTACTCAAATCAGCAGAAACAGCCAAAACAGCCACTTCAGCCAGAACTTCATAAATTTCAGAAGAATCAGCCAAAACAGCCGATTTTTGTGCTACCAAACGGGTTCTAAATCATGATTGTGGATAGTTAAATCAGTTTTAATAGTTAAATTTAAATATTCAAAAATTACATGGAAAGTTCTATATAGTCAGGAAATTCAAATTAGATTATAATAAATTTTGATAAATTAAATGTGTAAATGAAATGAAACCATCAAGAAAAGTTGAGTTTGCAAATCACATTTCGTATCACATATATTCGAGTGATAAAATATTCATTTAATTTATCCCTATATATAAAATCGACACAAATATCTCATGACCGAGCCCATGCCACTCCGGCCCTCCCTTTATTAACCTCTCTAGATATCTTCAACTCCCTTCGATTCAACTTCGTACAATACAATACAATTACGCACGTACGTATAATACGGCGAATAGCACGACCTAAAAATGCCTTCAAGGGTTGCAGATAACCAACCAGCCTTTGTCCAAGTACATAAACAATTAGACCTCAACGCCGTCAAAGAATTGCCGGAGTCTCATGCGTGGACGACGTTGTCGTCGTCCGACACCTCCGCGGCTTCCACGGGGGAATCGATTCCGGTGATCGACCTAGGCGGGGAGGAGAAGGGGGTGGCGGAGCTAATAGGGCGTGCATGCAAGACGTGGGGGGCATTTCAGGTGGAAAACCACGGTATTTCCCAAGATTTGCTGGACCGTATTGAGGCCGCCGGGAAAAGCCTCTTCTCCCTCCCCTTGCATCAGAAGCTTAAGGCCTCTCGCTCCCCCGTAGACGGCGTTTCCGGCTACGGAGTCGCTCGGATTTCGTCTTTCTTTCCGAAAGGAATGTGGTCCGAAGGGTTCACCATCGTCGGCTCGCCGCTCGAACATGCCCGCCTTCTATGGCCTCATGACTACTCCACTTTCTGGTACCACCTTTGATTATTATTCAATGTGTATCAAATTAACTGGGTTTAGTTTACGTAGTAGGCATGAATTTATATGAAATAATTCCAAAAATATAACTAAAATAAAAGTATTGGACAAAAATGTAACACAGGCGACTTTAGTGGCTATAATTATATTCAAATGTTACAGTATAGTGACTATAAAAATTATTCATAATAATGTTAGGAAAAACCTCTGTTCACATTGTGATTCAATTAATTTATAATGTAACTTTTGGAAAATATAGATTATATTTGTTACTCTGTAATACTTATACATTTATTACTTAAATAATTACATATTTATAATAAAAATAATTAAATAAAAATATTTTACAAAAATGTGACTAGTGACTACAATAATAATTTAATAATATATAGTAATTTACGACCAATTTTTAAGTTTAGGAAGAATTATTTTTGTATCGATATTAAAAAATCATCACCTTGTCTTGACAAGATTTCAAATATAGAAAAGTTATTACTAGTACTATAATACTACTTCCATTTCAAAATTATATATTTATACTATACGGCCATACGGGTGGAGTAGTGGAGTGTATCCTTTTCTATATGTTCGTAGTAACTCTTTTTCCTTTTATGGCATGATTCGTATATTTACCTATCTTTTATGCTCCTTACTCTGTACTACTGTACTAGTCCAATTTTTTGTCACACAAAGAGTATTATCTAAGAGAATAGACAATACTCCGTATTATACTGCCATAGTTCTTTAAAAAGTAGGAGTCACCTACACATGCATGTAAGCATGTTGTTAAGAAATACTCCTCTTCCCTTGTAAATTGAGTTCCAAAATTGAATTTTTTTTAGTTAATAAGATTCATTTTATTCACTTAATTAGTAAATTCATTCTTAATTAAATTTTCATTTGGATTTTGCGATTTTATAGAGATTTTAATGTAGCTTCTGAATATGTAAATTTTAATTATTAAAATTGAAGTAATTATAAAAAAGAAAGATTTAACTTTAACATTGGTTGACCGAAGAATATTGATTTTGTAAAATAATTTGGGACGGTGGTAGTATTACATAATACTTAATAGTTAATACCCCATATATAGCTCAAACAATGGAGTATAAAGTTAAATTTTCCCCAAATATATGATGAAGATATGGATAGTCGATAAAAGTGTAACTTAATAACTTTTACTGACTATAGTTATGTGCATATTCTAGATTTCAGGGGATGAACCAACATGGTGGATTCTCCATATAACTTTTATTGATGATAATTTTTTCTCTATTTAGCAGATTCAAAACATTTAGCCAATTTTAGTATTACTAAAAAGATTATACAATGTTTGTAATAATTGTTCGAGCAATCTATATATTAGCTTCTATATTTGCCTTTGAGACTTGTAGACAAATTATTTGTAATGAGTATATAGAACATCAATGTAATACGTATTTGACTCTTTTTAATGACTTAATTAATTAATATGTTGAATAATAATGACTGAATTGAAATAGAGTTAATGTGCATGATATTGATCATTTGTGAATGGAGCTAATAATAATGACTAAATTGAAATGGAGTTAATGTGCAACTTATTTGTTAGAGTATATGATTTTATATTAAAATGTAGCAATTTTGCAACATCTTCTAACAACTAATAGTAACCTAATTTACATACTTTAACATATTATAATGTGTCAAGTTCACAAATGGCCCAAATCAACTTGTCAAGTAAAATGGGTGAATAGTGCAGAAATGTCAATCTTTCAACTATTAAAGAAACACAAGAAATATTAAATTAGTTATAAACTTATTCTAAAAAATAGGTTGTCTAATTTTTTCTCCTTTTGTGAATAAGGATGTTTTTACTTGGACTGTAATTTGCTGGTCTGGTCTGGTCTGGTATGAACTGGTTTGGCTTGATCTTGTAATGTCTGGTCTCTTTGTATTTTTATAACTATTCAAGTCTAATTTGGTCTGATTTGGTCTGAACTAGTCTAGTATGATCTGATCTACTATGGTCTGGTCTAAGACGAATTATAGTCCAACTAAAAACATAAGAATGCTAGCTAATCCTGTTTTTCTTTGTTTGGCTTAGTGACACGATTGAAGAGTACGAAAAAGAGATGATAAAGTTAGCGGGTAGATTGACGAGGCTAATTTTGGAAGCCATAGGGGTTTCAGATGAAGAACTGAAATGGGCTATTGGGTCCAAAATGGATCAGGCCGAAGGGAGGCGTTCGGCCATTCAGCTCAACTCGTACCCGGCATGTCCGGATCCAGGCCGGGCCATGGGCCTGGCGGAGCACACGGATTCCACCCTCTTCACCATCCTCCACCAGAACAACACCAGCGGGTTACAGGTTTTCCGGGAAGGATACGGGTGGGTCGCCGTCCCGGCGATCCCCGGGGCGTTGGTGATCAACGTCGGAGACCTCCTCCACATGCTCTCGAATGGGGCTTACCATAGCGTGCTCCACCGCGCAGTGGTGAACGGGAGCAGACACAGGATGTCGGTGGCGTATCTCTACGGCCCGCCGCCGGGGGTGAAGATATCGCCGCTGCCCAAACTGGTGGCGAACGGGGAGCCGCCCATGTATAGGGAGATTGCGTGGAGCGAGTATCTTGATATGAAAGCCAAACACTTCCACAAGGCGCTTTCTTACGTTCGGTTCTAAGAAACACAATTAATTTTCTTTTTTTGAAAGGAAAACCATAATTAATCATAGAGTTAATTGTCTCTTTAGGACTAAAAGAGGAGCCGTGTTCATAAATAGGACCGAAATTCGAAAGTATGTTACATAGGACCTATAATCATGTACTCGGACAAAAACGCCCCCATTCAATTATTACTCTGTATTTGAGCAGTTCCGTGACCCTTGGTGCCGTTGCAGCTTGCCCCTGCCACGTCAGTGCCGCCTGCCACTGTCTCACCGGTGCCGGTTGCCGCTGTCTCGTCGGTGCCGCCTGACGTCATCTCATCGGCGCCGCCCTCGCCAATACCGTCTTCGTCCAGCATCTCCGCCGCATCCAAACAATGTCACCATTCATTGCCGCCCAACCACCACCGCCGCCACCATCCTCATAGCACCACCATTGTGAACTTCAGGGCTGCCACATCACCTCTGAGCATGGTCGCCGCCGTTACAACTTCAGTCCCAGAAACTGCCAAATTTTTGGCAAATCTAGTCTAAATTAATTTCAAATCTGCCATGAACAAGGTTTTCAAATTTGCCACATAGTTGGCAGATTAATTTTGGAATAATAGTAGAAAACTGCCATTTATTTGTCAAAAACATGAAAGGAATAACCAAAATTTCAAACAAAAATTAACAGAATAAGAACTCTAACAGAATTAGAAATACGGAGCTAATGAAAAAAATCATAAAAGCAGATTTACACAAAGACATTTCTGCCATAATCTGATTGCCAGTGTACATTTCTGCCACAAACATGGCCAAATCTTATGCCATCATCCAAAACTCTGGAAAATCAAAATGTTTAAATACTCACAAATCAAAACACGAAAATATAAATCTCAAAATTGACAAAATCAATGTCAAAATTATCCCAAAAAACAGAGGAATGTAAATTACCCACAAAATCATAGAATTACCAAGAAGAAGAAGGAAGAGAAGGAGGATGGAGAAGAATAGAAGAAGAAGAAGAAGAAGAAGTAGTAGAAGATAAAAACCTGAAATAGGGAGGAAAATAAATTTGACGCTGGTGGAAGGCGGAGGCAACGAAGCAGAGGTGATGAAGATGGAGCCGGCAGAGGTGGCGTGCGGCGGCTTGCAGCAAAATCGCAGATCTGTAAGGGAGAAAGACGATTTGCAAAGAAGATCGCGTCTGGAGGAGTAGTGATCGATAGATGTAGCGCTTTGTGCAGAGAGAAGGTTAGGGAGGAGAATAAATAAGTGCGGGGTAAAAATGGCACGCCAATTTATCTATGTTTCATAATAGGAGTAAATTGGTCCTATTTGGGAATAAAAACATAAGAAGTCCTATTTTTTATTTTTAACCTAGTTTTACTCCTATTTTGGATAATTTCTGTTAATCATAATCTAGCCAAGTTATAAATTTGGTTGCCCCCTTTCCTGGGAATCTGGGATTATTGATTGGCTTGTTACTCTTTTCGGTTTATAATAACTGAATAAACATTAAAATATACTACGCATGTGTTTAGATGACCAAAATGAGTTTTTTTTATCATTAAACCGAGAGATATATTAAACCAACAAATCGTTTGCAAATTGGCTTACAATACAATCAGGAATATCGTCATAATTAACCCTCTGATCTAAGATAACGACATGTGCTCTTGTCAAAGCATGAGCAGCATGATTCGCAAACTGTTTACAAAAAAAGACAAAAAAAAATTACTCTTTGTTTCAAGAATAAATACAAGGACTCCTCCCTCTTTTTTATTCCTTGAACAACCGATAAAGCATTTGTCTCAACTTCTACTTGCTGCCATCCCATCTCCACCGTTGCTTATAACGAACCCCCATAGCTTCTGTTTCTGCCACACTCCAGTCAGCCCTATGTGTGGTGCCCGAGGCTCTAATAAAATCACCATACTCATCTCTAGCTACCCATCCCCAAGCTCTTTTATTGCCTTCCTGATCAATTGCTCCGTCCACATTTACTTTAATAACTCTCGACCCCGGTTTCGTCCATTTGCTTCCCCGATCTCCGATCGAGTCTTTTTTCCCCTCCTCGGCAACCTGAGCTTCTTTCCAACTAGCCAACATTCCAGTAGCCGCATTTAAAACACTAGCAGTTTCTTGTACTTGATGTTTTCAAACCGCAGTATTACGTCTTTTCCAAATACTCCAAAGTATAGCCACGAATCTACCTCTTTCTTCCTCTCCCAAGCTGTCGAGTTGCTTCCTAATCCAGACTTCCGTCGAGAATTGCTCGAAATCCGGATACGAGCCAGCTGCCCGCCACACTGCTTGGACTCTTGGACACGCCCTCATCGCATGGTCTAGGGATTCAACCGGCTCGTTACACAGCTTGCATCCGCCCTGAATGTCCACGCCTCTCCTCCTCAAACTATCAACCACTGGTAGTGTTCCATCCAAAACCTGCCAAACAAAAAAAAAATCCGGTGGAACCTTAATATCCCACAAAGTCTTCCAACCAGCCCATCCGTCCGCTTGGAACTCGCCCATAAGAAGACGATAGCTACTTTTTACATAATATAATCCATTAGTTTCTCCCTTCCACCAGTATCCATCCTTTTTATCGTGAACACTGATTGGAATATCAAGAATCAAGCTCATGCCTGCCTCATTAAATAGAGAACAAATCATGTCCACATTCCACTTCTTTCCTGTAATATCCCGAAGCGCCGCTACATTCATATCTCTAACACCCCTGGGGCGAGTAGAAGAAATTTTCCCGGCCTCTGCCCCGGCATCCGCCCACGCCTGGACATCAATACCGTTCCCAACCCATCTCCGAGTATTATTTTTTAGCAACTCATGGGTCTCAAAAATACTTCTCCAGATAAAAGAAGGGATATATCCCAATTTAGCAGAAAGGAAATTTGACTTAGGAAAATACCTTGCCTTGAGGACCCGGCCCATGAGACAGCTCTCATTTGCAATCAATCGTCAGCCTTGTTTACCCAACGTAGCCAAATTAAATACTCACGGTCTTCTAAAGCCTAACCCTCCCACCTGTTTCGGCTTACATGCATAATCCATTTCCAGGTTCTCCATCTCAGTCCTTTCTGGCCGAGCTTACATCCCCTCCACCAGAAACCATTCATTAATTTTTCTATGTCATCACAGAGTTCTTTTGGCAGTAAGAACACGTTCATAGCATAGCTTGGCATTTCCTGTACAACATTGTTTAATAAAACCGCTCTGCCAGCTCTAGACAAAAATCTATTATTCCAACTCTTAATTCTAGAGTGTATGCGATCCCGAAGATAGCCAAGAATTGCCATTTTTTTACCAACTAACACCGGCAATCCTAGGTACCTCGACTGATTCCCATCCCTCGGGATGCCCAAAATCTGACAGCAAATTTGTTTATTTGATTCACACACACTCATACTGAAAGATATAGAAGATTTGAAGTAATTTACCACCTGACCAGATAACTCCTCATACCCCTGTAAAATATCATGAACCACACTACACTCACCCCTTGTAGCTTTAAAAAATAAGAAACTATCATCTGCAAATAACAGGTGTGATATTTTTGGTGCCCCTCTACAAACCACCCCCATGTAAATCCCCTTTTCTTTCGGCTCTTTTTTTCAACGCACTTAAGCCCTCGACTACCAGAATATATAAATATGGTGAAAGAGGGTCACCTTGACGAAACCCTCTTCCTGACTCAATCGGTCCAATAAACTCATTATCAAACTGGACATAATAATTAACTGTAGAAACACATGACATAATTAATTCAATCCATCTTCCACTGAAACCCATACTAGTCATAATAAACTTTAAAAATCCCAGCTAACCTGATCATATGCTTTGTTTATATCAAGTTTGAGTGCCACAAATCCTTCTTTGCCATGTTGTTTCCTTTTCAAATAGTGTTGAGTCTCAAAAGCTACTATGATATTATCAACAATCGATCTCCCTGGAATAAAGGCACTTTGATTCTCCCAAATCAACTGACCTAAAAAACACTTCATTCTATCCGCAAGCACTTTAGAAAAAATTATAGACCACATTACAAAGGGCTATCGATCTCCACTCCCCCAAATTATCTGGATTATCCTTTTTTTGGAATTAAAACAATATTAGTTATATTTAATTCCTTAGGGGCAATGACAGAATAAAAATACCTGAACATAGCCGTGTCACGTCCGCCCCGACCACATCCCAAAACTTCTGAAAAAACGTTGGGTTCATCACGTCTGAGCCTAGAGCCTTCTCAGGATGCATATAAAAAATCGTCGATTTTACCTCCTCCGGACTAACAAGTCTGAGCAAACGCCCGTTTTGAGCAGCTGACCAAAATGAGTTTTAAAATGCCATTGTAGTTATTATTATTTTATATTTTCCCTTAAACATAACTGGAATAAAACATACTGTCCCCGACTCATTTTATGTGTCATACATTGGTTTGACATAATTATTAATAAAGTGATTAGAAAAGTAAAAATTGTGATAGAGATTTACATATAATAAATGTCACGCCCCGGACCGCGTCCGTGCCACGTAGACAACCGCCGTACAACCCAATAAGAACAACGTAGTTCATCCTTATCAAATCATACAAGGCGTCCGTTGAGTTCTATTGCCAAGCCGATTAGTAAACCCATACAATCAACATCAATATATATTAGTCAAACAAATGCGGAAAATAAGATATGTTTGATGCTGAGCCACACGTGGCAAATACGGGCACGCAGGCCCCCAAATGTTTTAATAGAAAACATTGTTAAAAATATCCATGAGCAGTTTATCAGTTTTGAAGATGAATGGAAGCACGAACCACGTCTTCCTCCTTGATCAGTCACCCTAGGCAAAGGTGCAGGTAGTAGGACTCTAGCCTTAACCTGAAAAATGTGAGGGCCCCCGAAGGGGTCAGTACTCCATAGAAGTACTAGTGACAAGCAGGCTATATGAGGAATAACTAATGTTTCAGACACGAGACCCAAAAATAGGGTGGTACATATACTTATAGGTGTAACCATTGTTACCCCATCCCCAAGATAATACATACCGTATATACTTGTAAAATACTTGACTCGTAGGTCATTTTCTCGCAAAAGAGTCTTTTAGAGACAAGGTACTTACCCAACCTTTCCCCTTTCATTCCTGAATGCCTAGCTTAAGAGCTACATTCTACCTTCATAATATCCTACCGAGTTTCAGGAGTGTTAACCCTCCCGGGGATACTCAACCCCAACCGAGTTTTGGGATCATTTACCGTCCCGAGGATACTCAACCTCAACCGAGTTTTAGGATCATTTACCGTCCCGAGGATACTCAACCTCAACCGAGTTTTAGGATTGTTTACCGTCCTGAGGATGCTCAACCTCACCGAGTTTTAGGATTGTTTACCATCCTGAGGATACTCAACCTCACCGAGTTTTAGGATCATTTACCGTCCCGAGGATACTCAACCTCAACCGAGTTTTAGGATTGTTTACCATCCTGAGGATACTCAACCTCACCGAGTTTTAGGATCATTTACCGTCCCGAGGATACTCAACCTCAACCGAGTTTTAGGATCATTTACCGTCCCGAGGATACTCAACCTCAACCGAGTTTTAGGATCATTTACCGTCCCGAGGATACT